GGGGGGGGGGGGGGGGGGGGGGGGGGGGGAGAGAGATTGTTGAGAGAGAGCGAGGGAGAGAGACAAGGAGAATGAGGCAGAGAGAATGAAGAGAAATAGAGAGGGAGCGAGAGAAATAGAGAGAGGGAAGAGAGAGGCACGAGAGGGAGAAGAGAGAAAGGGAGAAGAGCGAGGCAGGGCAAGATGCAGCCACAGGGGACAGAGGCAGAAAAAACAAAGAATACAGGGGGTGGTTCACAGCAAGACCGAACCACTGGTGGAGAAGCTGGCCCAGGCCTGTCGTGTAGTTCTTCTGTGTTTCATGCACCCTCGAGTGTAAACAGTGAAATCGCCCTTGCAATGTCCTGTTCATCATGTGCGTCTGTACCTCTCGTGCGCAACACGTTCGTGCAGACAGAACAACAGTGTACCGAGATGCTTTGGAAACTACGCGAGCATGCATCTCTGGCGTGACGAGGAGAGAATCGACCGCTCCGACCGATAGCAAAAAGGAAACGACAAAAAAAAAACACACACACAAGCCGACAAACACGTAATACACACCCGCAAGAGCCGGAGGGATGGAGTCGTTCTGGACCTTGGTCAGCGTTGCGTAGCCTAGCACCTCGGCGATGGCCCGCTGCGTCGGCGCGGAGAGCGGCAGTTGGGCGAACTTGCTCTCCGTCATCTGACTCATGGTCGTCGTGGACGTCCTAGAGTTGGGGTTGTTGACCTTCGCGCCCCCGTCACGGCCACCGCTGCCGCCACCGCCGCCGCCGCCGGCGGCCTGTGCAGGGGGCATGGGCGGCATGGTGCTGTTAGAAGGGGCGCCAACACCAGCACCAGCACCAGGTCCGAGCGGGAGCCCGGCCGCCGCGGGGTTGTAGTTGTAGTTGTTGTTGTTGCTGTGTCCCGGTGCGCCGTTTCCTGGCCCGCCGCCGCCACCTCCGCCACCCCCGCCGTCACCGCGCCCCCGACCCCGGCCACCCCTACGTCGCCTCTTACCACCTCCCCGACCACCACCCCCGCCCCCGCCGCCGCCGCCCCCGCCCCCGCCTCCGCCTGCCGGACATGACGAGACCGTGGATGCAACGGGTGTTGTCAAGCCAACAAGTATAAGGTTAAGCCATACGGTAACCTCGTAAATCTCACGGCCCTAGGTTGTGGGTAAAACCTGTCCAGACCACGCAAGCTTAGAGGTGGAAAGCAGGAAAATAGCGAATCGTGAGTGAGCACAACAAGAGGGAAGGGAGTGCTGAATCCTTCTCGAGTTAAATAATCAAGGCAAGCACGGCAGGAGGAAGCGCGGCGCAACAACAACGTGATACACATCAACACGCGACTGAAAAACAACAAAAATCACGAGGGGGCACCGCCCCCGACAACAAATTTGCTTTCGAGTCACCTACTTCTGTATGGAGGAGCATACAACAATGGTACAGAGCACTGCACCTTCGGTCAGTTACACACGGCGTGTGCCTTATCGTCTGGCACTTCATTATCACTGCTGTTACAGAAAGTGTTCCAATCTCTGCTCTATGCTATGTAGTACTTTCTGATACATCCGTGTAATGGTCCAACTGATGCGGATGCATTCCGCGCTCACAGCAGGCGATGCTGTACATTTGTGTTTACCCGAACACGGGGTAATCCAAGGCATAGCGACGCGATCGCGTCGGAAGTATACGTGAACGGCAAAACGGACTAAAAAAATAGCAGGAATATGTACAACAATCGTATCGGTTTCAGCTACAGACAGGTAGGGAGGCTACTGTAGCTGGTGAGGGGTTGTTGATAGCGGGTAGGGTAATCACGACGGTTGAACCGCCCCACTACTGCTGTTCAACGCAACCGATGGTTACAACTATTTACGTAAGAGGAATATCGAACAAGATTGGCCGTTGTCTTGTACAAATGCCGAACACACCACGGGTTTCGACAAACTGTGAAATGACCCCTTGGGAAAATAAACACGGCAAGACCACTGCCTGCGACGTGCCAATTGGTACGTGCTCAGCGCGCCAAGTGACACGCGCTCAGCTGTAGCAGTGGCCCGTGTGCTATGCATACGATGCGAGGATCCATCAGATGTTCCGAGATGTGTCCTGGGTCTATACTGCTTGTAGCGTTCGCTGTGCTGGATCGTACCCAACAGGAAGATTTCGGTGGACCGGAGACAGCAGCGGGTCAAGAAAAGCGTCCACGTGTTTCTACGCAATGAGCTCGAAAAACTCCGCCAGAGCCAGTGCTCTGTAGGTGCCGCGCAACCCTATTCATGGTGCTGCACGTCGCAGGATATCTAAGTTTCACGCCCGGCGGCCGTTGCTACTGCTGTGATTCAATCGTGTGCCTGCTGATCGTTTGATACCATATCATATCATAAGCTGACCCGGCCTCAGTGGCCGCAGCAGCAGTGGTGGTGGCACACCGAGAACGTAGGACTGGCAATTCAACGGTACTTATCGGTAACGTCGACTAACCTCTTGCCCCTCCACCCCCTCCGCTTGCTCCTTGTTGGCTAGACATCTCTGCTGGAGTGCCGTTGCTGCCTATGAGGTGGCCTGGAGTGTGACGACGCTACACCAAAAAAGGGGTCCATGTGGACTGTATCCATGGCACCTAATGGTATTAGTATGTGGTACCTGTGATTCACGGAGCTCCTTGCTTTCTGCCGCATCCGGTGCACCAGCCAGCAGCCAGGCCGTGTCCGGCAGCAGAGACAAGACACAGCAAGTTCAGGTGTGTGCAACACGCACCCTTGCCGACATGCGGATCTCACCGAGCCGGGGAGCAGCTCCGCTTCTCCTCCTGGTGATCCTCGGCCCTGCAGCACGCGCGGCACCCTTGGTCGACCACTTCTCCGCGGCAGACGGCGATGCATTTGTAGAGGCGGCCGTGCGGGCCCTAGGCGACGCGGATTCCTCTCTGGAGGACAGGGACTACGCCGTCAGGCTCCTGGCAGCGCTGGACAAGCCGTCCGTGGCGTCCGGGTACAGGTCGTCGGCGTGCTCGGTGGCCGCGGCCGGGCTCAGCAACGGCGATCTTGAGCAGATCCACCACGGGATTAGCCTCGCGGACGGGGTGGGCGGCTGCGCCAACGCCAAGACCTGGAGAGCGAGCGAGGAAGTGGCGGATGCGATGAAGGTGTGCGGGTTCGTGCGATAGGGCGTGGATCGTTCGGGGGGGGGGGCAGGGTGTTTGGTTAGGAAGGGATGCACATGCGTGGTGTGCAAGATGTGTATATATCCCACCTCCTCTGTTCTGTGTCGGAGCAATGGCGCGCTCTGTGTGTCAACACTGCTGCTGTTGCGCCTGGGATAAACCCTTCGTGCCTGGATCGTCAAGAGTCAAGAGTCGTTCGCGTTCGTGTGAGTACAGGACAGCCGCTGCTGTGTGTGCGCATTGGATTATATTGTGTTGCAGCCCCAACTTAAAGGATGGAGGTGTCCTAAAAGCGAGCTTCATGTCCAGCTTCTGAGATGAGTTGACGAGGAACTACGATAACTCATTCTTGTACATGCTGCATATACGGTAGGATCTACAATACACAGACCTACAGGTAGATCTCGTGTCTTGTATTACAAGTATAATAGTCTCACCGGAGGAGTTTCCAGGCCGTCCGCACGTTGCCTTGCCGCGCCATGCGTTCGCGCCAAGCCCAGGATTGGTGAGAAGACTTGGCGGTATAGTCTAATATTTTGTTTCTCGTGGTTGTACGTGAAAGCACAGCGGCTCTTGCGATACATACACGGAGAAGGGTGAGTGCGAACGCCTCCCCTCAGTTCAGAAGAGATGGTACCGTCATCCATGTGATTTCCACCCAACACCTCGGGTACACCCCTTCTTGTCAATCCACTTGAGCTTAGGCACCAGCTACAACAGGACTGCATTGCACATGGTGGAAGCACGACCACACTAGCTACGCACGGAAGACGCCATTTCACTCAGCCAGTCCCCATGCCATTGTTCGGCACCCAGGTTGAGCGCTATCGTTTACCCCCCACCCCCTCCCCTCCCCTCCCCTTCGCGAAGAGTTCCGATCTGCGGAGCCTCTACCACGCCACCTTCGCGGCCCCGCTGCTGGGGGCGGACGTGACCCAGGGGGACACGGTGCTCGAGAAGGTCTTGGACTTGGTCGGGTCGGACGGTTCCGTCAGGTGTGTTGTTGGTGTTGGTTGTTTTGGTCGGGCAAGGACCCGGGGGAGCAGCAAGGTGCCTCGTGTTGCTTTGCCAACAAGCGCGGATACATGCAATTCGCGCTGTGTGCTCTCCTTTGGGAGACTGCATGAAGAGGGATGAGCGCGTCTGTTAGTTTGCTGGTGTTCCCTTTTTAAGCAGGAGCCGTTTTCGGCCTTGAAGGCGATGGCACGGGGTCAGTTCGGCCTGACGCGTGCCAGTAATTTCCCAGTGAGACGCAATCGTTTTTGCTGTTGCCATCGTCAACGCCTTGGAGGAAGCGCGCGAAAAACACACGTTGCGATGTGCCCTGCGATGGCATGTTGATGCTTCACTAACCCCGTTTGGATTGGTTGCAATGTTTGTCTGTCGTCTGACCACGGCTGTCGGTGGAGGGCCAAAGTAGAGAACTGGTACATAGGTATCACAGTGACAAGAAGAGAGCGGTGTGCGTTGTGTCCAACGTGAAAGTCAAAAGGCCCGCCCCAAAGACAGCCTTCTTACCCCCCCAGCTCCAGCTTCTGGTGCATCGTTGTGAAGCGTAGCCTGGGCAGGCGAAAACTCGGCACATCGCTCCGTCCCGGCATTGTAGGGATGCGACGTCAATGATCCAAAACGACTACAAACGGCATGCGTTTACATGAGTACTCCCCCCCCCCTCTCCCCCCCCCTCCGGGAGAACAGGAGCTACCCTAGCGGGCCTGTCGAGGCCGGGAACACCTTCATGGCGGCCGAGCTGTTGGCCGTGCTGGTACCTTCCGCTAAGGGGGATGCCAAGGCGATAGCCCTCCGCGAGGTGGAGGTGATGAAGGACAAGGTGCTCGGGGCGGAGCCGGCGCTGGTGGTGCAGCTGAGCCGCGCGGCCGGTGACAAGAAGCTGGCCATCAAGGCGTCTAAGGTTTGTGTCTGTATTTCATTGTTGGCATCGAATGGTATATGATGTGTGTCGGCTTCATTGTATGTGTGTACTTTATGAATGTACCATATATCCTGACCTCCACATGATCGCGTTTTTTTTTTTCGTGTTCTGGTTTACATGGTCCTGGTGACGAGGAGAGGTGAAGTGTTTGTTGCTTGTAGGAGTGGATGGTGACGGCCATGATAAAGGAGGTGTCAATCGAAACTTGCCTACCATGTTCTAAGGTCATAGTTCGTTCGTGCTGGTGTGATCACTAAGACCGCCAAAGTGATCTTGTTTTGGCTGCCGCTCCTGAGCTCCGCATGCCCCAACGTGTGCACGTTTGCTGGTCTGCCCTCATCCTCCTCCCGGCGCCTCTCCCAGCTCAAGTCCATGGCGAGGGATCTGCTGGAGGCGAGCCGCACGAGCCTCCCCAAGAGCATGCTCGGCGTGTACGAGGCGCTCAAGCTCATCGAGTCGTACCCGAAGGCGCCTCTCCCGATCAAGCTCCGGCCGTCCTCGCCGTCCGTGGAGGAGCTGTCTTCCGGAGGAGTTTCTCTGCTGGTGAGTCGGGATGAAGGCATTAGCGGTGGTGACGCGCGTGTACAGTGTCTCTCACCCGAGGAGGCGATGATACATGTACATTTTATGTTGATGATATCTCTTGTACCAAGTTTCTACGCCGTCTGGCAAAGCGTGGCGACGCCGCCGCCGTTGTTCCCTGCGGAGGGAGCGTTGTTGCGCGTGCTGGCATGCTGCGGATGGGAGAGGTCGAGAAAGCGAGAACACGTGACCTCCACATTCCGGCGGCTGCTGGAACGAAGATTCCCCTCTGAAGCCGCCGTCAAAAGTCTGCGTGTGAAAACCTCTGCCCCCGTCGGGAGAAGGGACACCGCTGCAGACGAGATGGGCGGTGGAGTAGACTCTAGCGGTGGCTCGCCTCCGGTAGGATATTGTTTGGGGTACTTGGATACGAGATCCTATCTGGGAAATATGTGGGGGAGGGGGGGGGGTCCAAGTGAGAGGCCCCTAGAGAGAGCGCGCACTTGCGTTACTTGTCTATGTGTGCTGGAAGGAGGACGGCTGTGTGTTAATCAAGATCCGTCCTGCACTACCGCGGGAAGGCGCGGTAGCCTCCGCGGGAAGCGGAGGCACGAACACGACTATTAATAGTCGTAATAGGGATTGGGCCGACCAGGTGGACCATATTGACGGAGCTGCGGGAAGGGCAGCAGCTGCGGAAAAGCAGCGGGGACTAAGGAGCGATTCGAAGCAGCGATGAAAAGGATCGCAACGATGGAGAAGGCTACAGTATGAGTGATGCCGGGAAGGCAGCTGGTAATCAAGCTGGGCAGGCCGTGTATGCGGGAGGCAGGTTGGTAGATCTTACGGGGGCGGCGACAACAACACGTCCCAGCACTGGAAGAAGAAAAGAAAGAGAAAAACGTTCTTGACGGGAACTTCGCCGTGTGTAGGCATCTGCCGGCAAATCACATTGCCAGCGAGGAGCTGGCTCACACTCTACAAGAGTCCTCATATCCAGTACGGCTGCTACACGATCCCTCCAGGAGGAAACTGATCAATGTGCCATGGCGGAATTGCAATTTTCCGCCGTGGATATTGATTTCGCCATGGATATTGATCAGTTCCCTCCTGGAGGGATCGTGTAGCAGCCGTACTGGATATGAGGACTCTTGTAGAGTGTTGAGCCTGCCCTTCGCTGACCATGTGATTTGCCAGCAGATGCCTACACACGGCGAGGTTCCCTTCAAAAACGTGTTTTTCATTCGTTTCTTCTTCCTGTGTTGGGACGGGTTGTAGTCGCCACCCCGGTAAAATCTACCAACGGACCCACCTCCGCATACATTCCCAGCTGCCTGCTCAGCTTGGTTACCAGCTGCCTTCCCGGCATCACTCATAGCCTTCTCCATCGTTGTTTCGAACTGCTCCTTAAGCTCTGGTGTCCTTTCCCGCAGTTCTGTTAACATCCGCCATCTCGTCGGCCCACCCCTACTACGATAAATCGTGTTCGTGCCTGCGCGCCTTCCCACGGTAGTTGGGTGGGGTATGGGGGCTAGGTTAACCCAGGACTGATGTTGATGACGTAAACCTTGATTCAGCACATAACCGTGCTCCTTCCAGCACGCGTAGACAAGTAACATATGTGCGAGCTCCCTCTCGAGGGGCCCCGCACTTGGACCCCCACAGCATACCCCCCCCACACACATATCTCCCAGATCGGATTTGGTAGCCAAGTAGATACCCCAAACACAAGCCGTTTTGGATTATGGGCGTTCCAGCCGGTGGCGCCAGCGATGGCGGGACCCTGCCATCATGGCGTTGTGCTTGCTCCTTCATGTGTTGATATTGGCGCTGGCCACAACATCTGGCGGGTTACCAGTTTTGCCACAGCAGTTGTTTTGCTGCCGCGTATGCATACGAGCGTGCGCGTGTCCTTCCTGTCCGCCTCCCCTCCCCACGCTTGTACCTGCTGTAGGAACACCATCGACGGATGGACTCACGACACCGCCGTGTGTGTTTGCCGGGTTCAAGCTCCGGCAAGTCGAGTCAGTGCACGCTTGCCCGCTTCCTCTGATAGCCCCCGTGTCTTCGCCCGCCTTTTCTTCAACTATAACCCGCATTGCACACACACACGACCCTTGCGAAACAACAGGCGACATCCCTGCTTGGTTCTCCCGCCAAGATCAAGTCGGCGTCGCTCTCCTCCCTCTCGCGCGCTGACGGTTCCGACGCTTCGGGCGACGGCGACGGCGGCCTGGGAGAGCCCGGCGCCGACGGCTTCCGCGCGCTCCCCAGCGTCGACGTGGCCCCCGGCCTCTACACGGCCGAGTTCGCGGTGGAGGTTGAAGGCGGGGAGAAGCCGCTGGTGGCCAAGCTCCCGCTCGCGGTCAGCTCGGGCGCGGACCTTGCGCGGGCCCGCGTGTCGGTCAGCGACAGCCACGAGAGGCCGCTCTCGGCCGACGCGAGCATCGAGAGCTACCCGCTCGCGCGGCCGGGGAAGGACTTGCTGCCGGAGGACGCTCACGCGAGCGCGGGGGAGGGGCACCACCTGCACGTCGAGCTGTCTCTGGAGGGGGCCGCCGCGCCCGGGGCGGGGGGGGGGGGTTCGGCCGCCGCCGCGCCCCACCAGGTGTTCGTGTGTTTCACCCACGTGGAGACGGGGATGGACACGTTCTTCGTGGCGGCGCCCCTCGGCGGCGAGGCGAGCGAGTTCGCGGTGTCGGTGTCCCTGGGGGAGGAGTCCCAGACGTTTGCTCAGAGGTCCGGGGAGTACGCGGTGACCGCTCTGGTCGGCGGGCCGCTGGTTGCGCCGCCGATCTCGGAGAGGCTCGGGTCCATCCGCCTCGGGTTCTCGGAGGCGAAGGAGCGCAAGTGGCCCATCTACGCGCGGCCGCTGCTGCACGAGACGGACGTGTCGCTAGGCCCGCTCCCTGAGAAGCACCACACGTTCCGAGAGCCCGAGGTCAGGCCGCACGCCGGGGTGTCCCTCCTGTTCACCGCCCTGGTGCTCGCGCCGCTGGCCGGGCTGGCGTACGGCATGCGGCGCGGCGGGGCGGACCTGCGGCGGCTGCCGGCGGCGGGGGCCGGGAGGGCGTGGTGCGCGGCGTACCAGGCGTGCATGGTGGGCGTGGTGCTGCTGTTCGTGACCTACTGGGCGACGCTGACGATGGCGTACACGCTGCGGGTCCTGGCTGTGCTGTCGGTCGTGACCACCGTGACGGGCAGGAAGGCGCTCCAGTCGCTGGCGGTGGCGGACGAGGGCGCACGGCGCGCGGCGGATAGCGGTAACCACATCAAGGGGGATTGATTCGTGTGTTGGGGGAGGGGGAAATAGTTGGGGGTTTGTCTTGTGCTTGCGGCTGGAGCTGTATGTGTGTGTGCTTGCCGTGTCTCTTTTGTGTTTTTTTTCAGTTTGTGTTGTTTTGCAATTTTCGGGTGTGTGCACGGCTGTGTAGTTTCTCTCTCGTGTTGCCGTGTAGCCCATGCTTTGTTGTGGGTGATGGGCGTGGGCGAAGCTCGAGGATAGGCGCAGCGTCGTTGATGGAGGATACACGGTGTGCTAGGGGGCGTCGCTGGTACGGGGACGACGGACGGGAGAGGCACACGTGAATCTGGCGTACTTGTTTGTGCAGTCTCCCGCGTTTAGTCGGTGCTTTGCTCGGACCTCCACGATGACCGGTGACAGCAGCAAGGGCCGTGCTAGAGGGTGCAATAGAACGAGCAACCTACTATCTGTATGGGACTTGGTTGAAGTGGCTGGCACATTCACGAAATAGTTTTATGATTACACATTCACGGATGTACTTGCACGGTGTAATAATCGAGTCTTGCGCGCTCTACGATGTACCCCGCCAATTTATTTTTTCAGACAGTTTGTGTGGTGCAGCGTGTGCATGACATGTTTCCACACGCACGAACAAATTAGTGCAACTCACGAAAAAGAACTGACGACACAACACGTATTACTGTGCGGGAACGCCGGTGGGCGGTGTGTACCCTGGCGCCCGTCACTCTGTGAAAACCTTTTCGGAGAACTCCCCAAGCAGATGTTTTGTCTCTCGAGGGTCCAGGCCGAGAACGACAGAAAGAAGCTAACCATGCCTGCCTGCGAAATTGGTGTGTACAATCGTTGCCCTATGCCTACCACGTCTATCAGGTGAAAGGCCGCGGAGATGTTACTGCGGGCAAGCTCCTAACATGTTTGTTTACGTCACGATATGACCCGTCCGTGCTCCCATCTTCTTGACTCAGTCGTCCTCGCTCTGCTGCTGCCTCTGTGCGGGGGAGCAATACTTGCTACAGTATCCCCTTAGAGAACGCCCGACTACGTATATCGTACGCGAGAACACCCCCCCCCCAGAAAAAGTAGCGTCTTTGGAGCCCAAGATCTTTGGAAGACGTCCACCGGGCAAACTCACTTCGTATGTATTTGCTCTTTTTGGTTACTTGGCCCGGTTCCTCTGAGTTCCCCTCGGGCGTGCTTTTTTTGCCTGATGTTTTGGCCGCCCTAAGAGACGTGCACAGGAACACAAGGCATTCATGCCTGCAACATTTGCTGTCGTCGTTGTCGTCGTTGTTGTCGATGTCGCACCAATGGTGTTGCTGGTGTTGATCTTCACATTTAAACCCTTGACCCTCTATGTTCAAGATCGTACTCTGGATGACGATCAAACGAACTCCGAGTTGCAAACTTGTCACCACAGCCAGCACGGCACGTGCCAAAAAAAGGCCGCGCGGTGCCAGCAAGACCCACCATACCCCAGGCGATACACCGCGTTTGCTGCCGTAAACCAGCAAAGCACAAGAAGGACCGCACGGCGAGTCAAACCAACGCGTGGCCACACAAGACAGCCAGCAGACCAAAGGCAGCATCGACAACCAACAAACAGTCGGGCCTTCCACCAACACGAATCAGGGACCACGTGGGGGGGGGGGGGGGGGTTTGCCCCCGCCGGGAAAAAAAAAAAAAGGAAA